AGATAAAATAGTGTAAATAACTACTGCAGAGCAGAATAAAGGGAAAAGAATGAAAAGAACTGAGGACAGTCTCAGAGACCTCTGGGACAACACTGAACACACCAACATTCGAATTATAGGGGTCCCAGAAGAAGAAGAGAAAAAGAAAGGGACTGAGAAAATATTTGAAGAGATTATAGTTGAAAACTTCCCTAATATGCGAAAGGAAATAGTTAATCAAGTCCAGGAAGCACAGAGAGTCCCATACAGGGTAAATCCAAGGAGAAACACGCCAAGACACATATTAATCACACTGTCAAAAATTAAATACAAAGAAAACATATTAAAGCAGCAAGGGAAAAACAACAAATAGCACACAAGGGAATCCCCATAAGGTTAACAGCTGATCTTTCAGCAGGAACTCTGCAAGCCAGAAGGCAGTGGCAGGACATATTCAAAATGATGAAGGAGAAAAACCTACAACCAAGATTACTCTACCCAGCAAGGATTTCATTCAGATTTGACGGAGAAATTAAAACCTTTACAGACAAGCAAAAGCTGAGAGAGTTCAGCACCACCAAACCAGCTTTACAACAAATGCTAAAGGAACTTCTCTAGGCAAGATACACAAGAGAAGGAAAACACCTACAATAACAAACCCAAAACAATTAAGAAAATGGGAATAGGAACATACATATCGATAATTATCTTAAATATAAATGGATTAAATGCTCCCACCAAAAGACACAGACTGGCTGAATGGATACAAAAACAAGACCCATATATATGCTGTCTACAAGAGACCCACTTCAGACCTAGGGACACACACAGACTGAAAGTTAAGGGATGGAAAAAGATATTCCATACAAATGGAAATCAAAAGAAAGCTGGAGTAGCAATTCTCATATCAGACAAAATAGACTTTAAAATAAAGACTATTAGAAGAGACAAAGAAGGACACTACATAATGATCAAGGGATCAATCCAAGAAGAAGATATAACAATTGTAAATATTTATGCACCCAACATAGGAGCACCTCAATACATAAGGCAAATACTAACAGCCATAAAAGGGGAAATTAACACGATTAACACAATCATAGTAGGGGACTTTAACACCCCACTTTCACCAATGGACAGATCATCCAAAATGAAAATAAATAAGGAGACACAAGCTTTAAATGATACATTAAACAAGATGGACTTAATTGATATTTATAGGACATTCCATCAAAAAACAACAGAATACACATTTTTTTGAAGTGCTCATGGAACATTCTCCAGGATAGGTCATATCTTGGGTCACAAATCAAGCCTGGGTAAATTTAAGAACATTGAAATCATATCAAGTATCTTTTCCGACCACAACGCTATGAGACTAGATATCAATTACAGGAAAAGATCTGTAAAAACTACAAACACATGGAGGCTAAACAATACACTACTTAATAACGAAGTGATCACTGAAGAAATCAAAGAGGAAATCAAAAAATACCTAGAAACAAATGACAATGGAGACACGACGACCCAAAACCCATGGGATGCAGCAAAAGCAGTTCTAAGAGGGAAGTTTAGAGCAATACAATCCTACCTTAAGAAACAGGAAACATCTGAAACGAACAACCTAACCTTGCACCTAAAGCAATTAGAGAAAGAAGAACAAAAGAACCCCAAAGTTAGCAGAAGGAAAGAAATCATAAAGATCAGATCAGAAATAAATGAAAAAGAAATAAAGAAAATGATAGCAAAGATCAATAAAACTAAAGGCTGGTTCTTTGAGAAGATAAACAAAATTGATAAACCATTAGCCAGATTCATCAAGAAAAAAAAAGGAGAAGACTCAAATCAATAGAATTAGAAATGAAAAAGGAGAAGTAACAACTGACACTGCAGAAATACAAAGGATCATGAGAGATTACTACAAGCAACTCTATGCCAATAAAATGGACAACCTGGAAGAAATCGACAAATCCTTAGAAATGCACAACCTGCCGAGACTGAACCAGGAAGAAATAGAAAATATGAACAGACCGATCATAAGCACTGAAATTGAAACTGTGATTAAAAATCTTCCAACAAACAAAAGCCCATGACCAGATGGCTTCACAGGCGAATTCTATCAAACATTTAGAGAAGAGCTAACACCTATCCTTCTCAAACTCTTCCAAAATATAGCAGAGGGCGGAACACTCCCAAACTCATTCTACGAGGCCACCATCACCCTGATACCAAAAGCAGACAAAGATGTCACAAAGAAAGAAAACTACAGGCCAATATCACTGATGACATAGCTGCAAAAATCCTCATCAGAATCCAACAGCACATTAAAAGGATCATACACCATGATCAAGTGAGGTTTATTCCAGGAATGCAAGGATTCTTCAATATACGCAAATCAATCAACGTGATACACCATATTAACAAAATGAAGGAGAAAAACCATATGATCATCTCAATAGATGCAGAGAAAACTTTTGACAAAATTCAACACCCATTTATGACAAAAACCCTGCAGAAAGTAGGCATAGAGGGAACTTTCCTCAACATAATAAAGGCCATATATGACAAACCCACACCCAACATCATCCTCAATGGTGAAAAACTGAAACCATTTCCACTAAGATCAGGAACAAGACAAGGTTGCCCACTCTCAACACTGTTATTCAACATAGTTTTGGAAGTTTTAGCCACAGCAATCAGAGAAGAAAAAGAAGTAAAAGGAATACAAGTTGGAAAAGAAGAAATAAAACTGTCACTGTTTGCATATGACAGGATAATATACACAGAGAATCGTAAATATGCTACCAGAAAACTACCAGAGTTAATCAATGAATTTCATAAAGTAGCAGGATACAAAATTAATGCCCAGAAATCTCTGGCATTCCTATATACTAATGATGAAAAATCTGAAAGTGAAATCAAGAAAACACTCCCACTTACCATTGCAACAAAAAGAATAAAATATCTAGGAATAAACCTACCTAAGGAGACAAAAGACCTGTATGCAGAAAACTATAAGACACTGATGAAAGAAATTAAAGATGATACAAATAGATGGAGAGCTATACCATGTTCTTGGATTGGAATAATCAACATTGTGAAAATGACTCTACTACCCAAAGCAATCTACAGATTCAATGCAATCCCTATCAAACTACCACTGGCATTTTTCACAGAACTAGAACAAAAATATTTCATAATTTGTATGAAAACACAAAAGACCCTGCATAGCCAAAGCAACCTTGAGAACAAAAAATGGAGCTAGTGGAATCAGGCTCCCTGACTTCAGACTATACTACAAAGCTAAAGTAATCAAGACAGTATGGTACTGGCACAAAAACAGAAATATAGATCAATGGAACAGGATCGAAAGCCCAGAGATAAATCCACGCACATATGGTCACCTTATCTTTGATAAAGGAGGCAAGAATATACAGTGGAGAAAAGACAGCCTCTTCAATAAGTGGTGCTGGGAAAACTGGACAGGTACATGTAAAAGTATGAAATTGGAACACTCCCTAACACCATACACAAAAATAAACTCAAAATGGATTAAAGACTTAAATGTAAGGCCAGACACTATCAAACTCTTAGAGGAAAACATAGGCAGAACACTCTATGACATAAATCACAGCAAGATCTTTTTTGACCCAACTCCTAGAGAAATGGAAATAAAAACAAACATAAACAAATGGGACATAATGAAACTTCAAAGCTTTTGCACAGCAAAGGAAACCATAAACAAGACCAAAAGACAACCCTCAGAATGGGAGAAAATATTTGCAAATGAAGCAACTGACCAAGGATTAATCTCCAAAATTTACAAGCAGCTCATGCAGCTCAATAACAAAAAAACAAACAACCCAATCCAAAAATGGGCAGAAGACCTAAATAGACATTTCTCCAAAGAAGATATACAGATTGACAACAAACACATGAAAGGATACTCAACATCACTAATCATTAGAGAAATGCAAATCAAAACTACAGTGAGGTATCACCTCACACCAGTCAGAATGGGCATCATCAAAAAATCTAAAAACAATAAATGCTGGAGAGGGTGTGGAGAAAAGGGAACCCTCTTGCACTGTTGGTGGGAATGTAAATTGATATAGCCACTATGGAGAACAGTATGGAGGTTCCTTAGAAAACTACAGATAGAACTACCATACGACCCAGCAATCCCACTACTGGGCATATACCCTGAGAAAACCATAATTCAACAAGAGTCATGTACCAAAATGTTCACTGCAGCTCTATTTACAATAGCCAGGACATGGAAGCAACCTAAGTGTCCATCAACAGATGAATGGATAAAGAAGATGTGGCACATATATACAATGGAATATTACTCAGCCATAAAAAGAAATGAAATTGAGTTATTTGTAGTGAGGTGGATGGACCTAGAGTCTGTCATACAGAGTGAAGTAAGTCAGAAAGAGAAAAACAAATACTATATGCTAACACATATATATGGAATCTAAGAAAAAAAAAGTCATGAAGAACCTAGGGGTAAGACGGGAATAAAGACACAGACCTACTAGATAATGGACCTGAGGATATGGGGAGGGGGAAGGGTAAGATGTGACAAAGTGAGAGAGTGGCAAGGACATATATGCACTACCAAATGTAAAATAGATAGCTAGTGGGAAGCCACCACATAGCAGAGGGAGATCAGCTCAGTGGTTTGTGACCACCTAGAGGGGTGGGATAGGGAGGGTGGGAGGGAGGGAGACGCAAGAGGGAAGAGATATGGGAACATATGTATAACTGATTCACTTTGTTATAAAGCAGAAACTAACGCACCATTGTAAAGCAATTATACTCCAATAAATATGTTTAAAAAAAAAGAAAAGAAAGGATACAAAAGATGGCTTGCAAGGAAGAACTACTCTAGGGAGAAGGACAAGATGTATAAAGGTAGGTCCCTCTTCTAATCCCCATACACAATCTTTAGTTAAATGTCACTTCTCCTGGACACTCCTTGGACTGTATCTACTTTGGAGATGGATCAAACTTCCATGTCCTACCTCAAAGGGGCATCAGGAAAGAACAGAGGCTGCCACATCCAGACTACCCAGTTATTTGTCTGCATCCCACCAGCATGTCTTGGTTGAGAATTGCTCATTTTTAAAATGGTCGAAAAAGACCACCCCCTCAAATGAAACCGCCTGCAGATAAGCACCAAGGACACCCCAATGTCTTTGCATGCAGTGTAACTTAATTCATTTTGGCATTCTCTGAGGAGAAAATTCTACCCTTTTTCTTGCATTTAAATTAAGAATGTGCAGCAAATGTCAGTGAGGATGTGGTGAAGAGGGAAACCTCATACACTCTTGGTGGGAATGTAAATTGGTGCAGCCACTGTGGAAAACAGTATGGAGGTTTCTCAAGAAACTAGAAATAGAACTACCATATGACCCTGCAACTCCTCTCCTGGGTATATATCCAAAAAAACTAAAAACACTAATTTGAAAAGATACATGCACCCCAATGTTCATAGCAGCACTATTTACAATACCCAAGATATGGAAGCAACCTAAGTGTCCATCAACAGATGAATGGGTAAAGAAGATGTGATATACCTGAAGAAAAAGAACAAAGCAGGAGGCATAACCTTCCCAGACTTCAGACAATACTACAAAGCTACAGTAATTGGGCTTCCCTGGTGGTACAGTGGTTGAGAGTCCGCCTGCGGATTCAGGGGACACGGGTTCATGCCCCAGTCCAGGAAGATCCCACATGCCACGGAGCGGCTGGGCCCCTGAGCCGTGGCCATTGAGCCTGCGCGTCCACAGCCTGTGCTCCACAACGGGAGAGGCCACAACAGTGAGAGGCCCACATACCGCAAAAAAAAAAAAAAAAAGCTACAGTAATCAAAATGGCATGGTATGACAAAAACAGACATATGGATCAACAGAACAGAACAGAGAGCCAGAAATAAACCCACACACCTGCAGTCAATTAATCTTCGACAAAGGAGGCAGGAATATACAATGGGGAAAGTCTTTTCAGCAAGTGGTGTTGGGAAAGTTGGACAACTGCATGTAAATCAATGAAGTTAGAATACATCCTCTCACCATACACAAAAATAAACTCAAAATGGCTTAAAAACTTAAATATAAGACATGACACTGGGACTTCCCTGGTGGTCCAGTGGGTAAGACTCCACACTCCCAATGCAGGGGGCCTTGTTCGATCCCTGGTCGGGGAACTAGATCCCACATGCATGCCACAACTAAGAAGTCTGCATGCTGCAACTAGCAGATCCCCCATGCCACAACTAAAGATCCCGCATGCCATAATCTGGCGCAGCCAAAATAAATTTTAAAAAAAAGACATGACACCATAAAACTCCTAGAAGAGATCATAGGCAAAACATTCTCTGACATAAATCATACCAGTGTTTTCTTAGGTCAGTCTCCCAAGGCAATAGAAATAAAAACAAAAATAACAAATGGGAACTAATCAAACTTAAAAGATTTTGTACAGCAAAGGAAACCATAAACAAAACAAAAAGACAACCTATGAACTGGGAGAAAATATCTGCAAATGATGCGACCAACAAGGGCTTAATTTCCAAAACATACAACAGTTCATACAACTCAATGACAAACAAGCAAACAACCCAATCGAAAAATGGGCAGAAGACCTAAATAGACATTTCTCCAAAGAAGAATACAGATGGACAACAGGCACATGAAAAGATGCTCAACATCACTAATTATTAGAAAAATGCAAATCAAAAGTACAATGAGGCACCATCTCACACCAGTCAGAATGACCATCATTAAAAAGTCTACAAATAACAAATGCTGGAGAGGGTGTGGAGAAAAGGGAACCCTCCTACACTGTTGGTGGGAATGTAAGTTGGTGCAGACACTATGGAAAACATTATGGAGTTTTCTCAGAACACTAAAGGTAGAAATACCATATGATCCAGCAATCCCACTCTTGGGCATATATCCAGACAACTATAATTTAAAAAGATACATGCACCCCTATCCTCACAGCAGCACTATTTACAATAGCCAAGACATGGAAGGAACCTAAATGTCCATCTACAGATGAAAGGATAAAGATGTGGTACATATTAACTCAACCATTAAAAAGGATGAAATAATGCCATTTGCAGCAATATGGATGGACCTAGAGATCGTCATACTGAATGAAGTAAGTCAGAGAAAGAGAAATATTGTATGATATCGCTTATATGTGGAATCTAAAAAAAAAATGATGCAAATGAACTTATTCACAAAACAGAAACAGACTCAAAGACTTCGAGAACAAACTTACGGTTACCGGGGGGAAGGGTCAGAGGAAGGGATAGTTATGGAGTTTGGGATTGACATATACACAAGGCTATATTTAAAATGGATAACCAACAAGGACCTACAGTATAGCACAGGGAACTCTGCTCAATATTATGTAAGAACCTAAATGGGAAAAGAATTTGAAAAGGAAGAGATACATGTATATGTATAACTGAATCACTTTGCTGTACACCTGAAACTAACACAACATTGTTAATCAACTATACAGTTCTCCAGTATAAAATAAAAAGTTAAAAAAAACAAAACAAAACTATACATCCTTCAGGAAAAAAAAAAGATGATATATTGGGTTGGCCAAAAAGTTCGTTCGGGTTTTTCTGTAAGATGTTACATATATACACTTCTCAGCCATAAATGCGAATGAAATAATGCCATTTGCAGCAACATGGATGCAGAGATTATCATACTAAGTGAAGTAAATCATAAAGAGAATGACACATACCATATGATATCACTTATATGTAAAGTCTAAAATACGACACAAATGAACAGGTCTACGAAACAGAAACAGATTCATGGACACAGAGAACACCCTTGTGGTTGCCAAAGAGGAGGGGGTTGGGGGGGGATGGAGTGGGAGGCTGGGGTTAGCAGATGTAAGCTATTATACAGAATAGATGGACAACAAGGTCCTACTGTATAGCACAGGGAACTATATTCAATATCCTATGATAAACCATAATGGAAAAGAGCATTAAAAAAAGAATGTATATATGTACATAACTGAATCACTTTTCTGTACAGCAGAAATTAACACATTATAAATCAACTATACTTCAACAAAAACAATTAAAAAGATGTGATATACATATAACTATATAGATATACACACACACACACACACACACACACACACACACACACACAATGGAATACTACTCAGCCACAAAAAAGAATGAAATTTTGCCATTTGCAGCAACATGGATGGACTTGGAGGGCATTATACTAAATGAAATAAGTCAGACAGAGAAAGACAAACACTGTATGATATCACATATAAGGAATCTAATAAAACACAACAAACTAGTGAATATAACAAAAAAGAAGCAGACTCACAGATATAGAGAACAAACTAGTGGTTATCAGTAAGGAGAGGGGACAGGGGAGGGACAAAATAGTAGTACAAGAGTAAGAGGTACAAATTATTAGGTATAAAATAAGCAGCAAGGATATATTATACAGCATGGGGAAAATAGCTAATGTTTTGTAGCAACTATAAATGGAGTATAACCTTTAAAAATTGTGAATCACCATGGTGTACACCTGTAACATATAATATTATACTTCAACTATACTTGAATAAAATTTTAAAAATTAAGAATGTGCAAGTGATTTCTGTACTGATACCCTTAAATGAGAACTCTTTTGACCCTGTGTCCCTTAGAGATAGCTGTAGGGATAGCAGCTTGCTTGGAGCGTGCACAGCAACTTCTCCAGAAGGCCATCAGAGAAAGGAGAAGCATGTTGGAAGATGACGCTAAGTCAAAACGATGATGTATCCTCTAGCTGTCAGAGCCCAGGCCACTGGTCTCCCATCTAACATTCACAGCTCTTGGGCATGCGGTAAGTTCTTGGGGTTCAGAAGGATAATAAGAGTGACCATACTTATGACACGATTTATTGATCATTTACAGTATTCCAGGCACAGTACTAGTGCTCTACATACAACTCTTCACTTAACCTTTATGACATCTATACAAGGTATCACCATTTCTGTTTTATAGAGGAAACTAAGGTTCAGAAATATTAAATTATTTACTAATAGACACACAGCTAGTGTGAGGCAGGCCTGGATTTTAACTTTAGTCCCTCCGATCCCATAGCCTGTCTGCTTAACCACCAAATTCTGGATTGTTCATTCTTAAGCTATCTCCACATTACTTACCTACTTAGAAAGTTTCAATGGCACCTTACTACCTACAACAGTGGTTCTCAACCCAACATTATATGTTCATCAAATTTAACGACTCATGGCTGCCTAGACAGCCATACATACTACCCAAGTCCTGTAACGTTTCCTACATTAAGGTGCATGTTATCCATCTTGAAGAGACCAGCCAAGGCCACACCTCCTCTGAAGCCTTCTGTGAGGACTTTAGCACCTAAAAGTTTCTGAAATGATTTTCTGTCCTCTGGGCTCCCCAAACCCTTACTGAGTATCAGTCATTTTGCCTTTATAGTATGACACCTTACAAGTTAGCATTTTATGTATTGTACGTGTCACGGTCCCAGCACAAAGCACATTCACTTTAGAATAATTGGAGTTGTTTTTCATAAAGGGACTGTTTACAGAGGTGTGGGAAGTCTAGAGGGAAACTATGGCAGCTAGTTTGAGCCCCAAGTCTGGCAATAGAAGCCCCTATAACCACTCGCAGGCCTAAAGAAAGGATGAGAAGAGGCAACAGTTATTGCTAATGGGACCCAATACCAAGAAGGCTGCCTGGAGAGGGCTGCCTTACAGGAGCTGGGACTATCAGTTGAGGAATTAAATAACTCCATAGAAAAGACTAAAACTCTAATTCAAAAAGATGCATGCACCCCAATATTCATAGCAGCACTATTTATAACAGCCAAGACATGGAAAAAACCCAAGTGCCCACCAACAGACAACTGGCTTAAGAAGATGTGAGATATACACACACACACACACACATATATACGAATATTACTCAGCCATTAAAGAACAATGAAATAATGCCATTTGCAGCAACATGGATCGACCTAGAGATTATCATACTAAGTGAAGCAAGTCAGCCAGAGAAAGACAAATATTATATCACTTACATGTGGAATCTGAACAATAATACAAACGAATCTATATACAAAACAGAAACAGTCTCACAGACATAGAAAACAAACTTACAGTTACCAAAGGGGAAAGGGAAGGGATAAATTAGGAGTATGGAATTAATAGATAACAAACTGCTATACATAAAACAGATAAGCAACAAGGATTTACTGTAGAGCACAGGAAACTATATTCCATACCTTGTAATAACCTATAATGGAAAATAACTTTTTAAAGTATAAATATATATAAAAGTATATATATATATAAAACACTTTGCTGTACACCTGACACTAACATAAATATTGTAAGCAACTATACTTCAATTTATAAGAACCCCAGATGGGGAAAGACATAAATACATACAGACATACATACACAAATCACTCCACAGGGTGAGAGACAGTGAACGAATACCTTGCCTCGCTCTCCTTCCTCCCTCCCTCAATCCATCTTTCGCTGACGCTCCTAACTGGCAGAAATCGACAGGAAGCTGAAGAGCAAGGGAACTCATAGATCAGTGGTTCTCAAATGTTAACGTACATCAGGATTACCTGAGGGCTGTTAAAGATTCCTGGGCCCCCACCCCCAGATTTTCCGATTCAATTGGTCTGGGGTGAATGGGGCTCAAGAATCTGCCACAAGATCACCATCAATGCTAGCATGATGCTCATTCCAGGACCAGACACTGAGAACAACTGCCAGAAACTCTACCCTAGAGGCCAGCCTCCTAGGGTACAGAACATGGTGGAAGGGGTGAAAAGTTGATCCTGAGGGGCAAAAGGAGACTATCCAGCACACACTCATTTATCCAATCTACACCAATTTACATCCAATCTAGACCAGAGGTCAGCAAACCTTTTCTATAAGAACCAGAAAGTAAATATTTTAGCCTTTGCAGGCCATATGGTCTCTGTTGCTACTACTTAACTCTGTATTCATAGCACAAAATCTGTCACAGACAACACAAATGAATGAGCATGACTGTGTTCAATAACATTGGACTTTCATTCTTTATTTATAAAATTTTGTTTACCACAAACTCATTTAAGTCTTACCCACCTTTGTATCTCCACAGTGTTCAAAAACGACCACTACAATCATTTGCTGAGTGTCCACATATAAATGCCAGGAACCTTACATGCATTATCTCTTCACTTTGAGGACACCTAGATTTACTCTGCCCCAATTAGGATCAGCACTTGTGTAGCTCTCAATTTATATAAGCCAATTTTTCATCTCCACTCTATGTCAGGAACTGCGTGAGTCACTCGGGATCCAGATGTGAAGGAGACAGCCACAGTCCCTAGCTTTGAGGGTTAACCAGCTAATGAGATGTCAATTAAGGTTTTCTGGTTGCAAGCAACAAGTGTGAGCCTGAGTAACTTAAATAAAATGAAATGTGTTGGCAAAATACTGAAATGCCGATAGGCTTGAAAGACAAACACGTCAGCCATTCTTCAGGAAGGCTGGAAACCAGAATACATCCCACAAGGGTTGCCAAGTCCCAAGCTCACTCCCTGGATTCTTGGAACTCTGTCCTGGATGGGGCTCTGCCTTAGGTAGTTTTTAAAACTTCCCCAGATGATTCTAATTTGTAAGCATGGTTGAGAACTACTGCTCTGGTCTCTTCAGCAGAGTTGTTTTATTTTTCTCCTATGTCATTCTGTGTATTAGTAGATCACTGGCTCCTGGTAAAGTTAAAATAAACTTTTGAAAATATACCCCAATTCCCCACCAAGTTTAATAGGTGGACAGCAATATACCCCATGTTTATAGCAGTCACTTTGCCTCAAAGTATTCTCAGGTGTCTCAACTCAAGTGAGCTTCATGGCTAACCTATGACGTAGACGGCACAGATGTTATTATTTCTCCTTAAGACAAGAAAACTGAGGCTCAAGTAAGGGATGGGCCCAAGTGAATGGCAAGAGCTGAGACTAGACCCCAGACCTCCATAGGGCAGTGGTTCTCCAACATTAGAGTGACTACAACACACCTGGATACTTGTTCCAATGCAGTGTACTTGACTTCAAATCCAGAGGTTCTGATCCAGTAAGTCTTGAGTGAGGCACAAGTACCTACAATATCACCCAAGTGATTCTGATGCACCCGGCCCCCAAATCTCAGTTGGTGAAACACTGCCAGCGAGGAAATCATCCTCAGCCCATGGCTTTGAATATGACCCTGTCCAGAAGCAACGGAGTGGACCAGCTGACCAATTCAAGATGCTTTCCAAACCGATAGCATTTCCTCTGCTTTTCCCTTCATCCTCTTATCTGCTAATATTAGCTTTTCAGAGAAATAACAAAGACAAACTCTAGATCAGCAATAGTGAGTTTCCGTTCACCTCAGATCAATCAGTAATGGTTTCTTAAAGCCTTGGATGGAGAAGCAATGAGACTGTACTGGGCACAGCAGGAAAATATATTGTGATCAGTTAGTGATGTCTGTCAGGGACACGCTGAGGATTCTGGCAGTCGAGGCTATCATTGCTCTAGATAGGATTTATCCTTTGTTGTTGTTGTTTTTTGGTAGAAAGAATATTTCTACAAAGAGAGACATTGTTTTTAACTACAGACAATGAGAAATGATTTTTTTAAATTGCTTCCATGCTTTCCATAAACTACGGGTTGTACTCGAGACATTCTAGATGCCATGATTCAAATGTAAATATCCCCTGAAATCCATCAATGTCTGGGTAGTTGATTAAGCACCATGGACTATAACAGTGTTCCCTTTTCCGATCTTCAGGCATTTTTTATTTTTGTGAGCTGATGTATTACCACGATGAGGGTACTTTCTCACACATTCTGCTCACGATAACAGATGAGGTGTGAAATTGATTCTGAACACCTAGGAAGGTTATGATTTATCATCATCCATTAGGCCCTGTGGAGCTTTACAGGATGAATCCCAACTACACTCAGAATCCAACCACACTTCTGGAAAGAGGACACTTAATGACTCAAGATACATTAAGTACAGCTATTTCACAGCTGGCACCCAATAAGGGGCTCCATTTCATTCAGTCAGTCAACAAATATTAACTATGCACCTAACATATGCCCAGTACTGTTTTAGAAACTGCAGATAACACAACGGGCAAGAAAGACTCATTTATCCTTAGAGCTGGCTTCCCTCCCTGTTAACTCACACTCACTACTGGCCAAACACACCAACAATGTGGCACCTGGGGATCAATACTTGAGGTGGCCTGAACTGGATGTCATCCTACAATTTCCTGAAGGTACTTGGGGGAGCCAACTTGTCAATAGCCAATGCTGCACCTTCAGTGTTAATACTCCCTGTACAAAGGATGGGCCCATGGAAATCACTGATGAGTGAGGGTGTACGGCACATGAGCCCCTCAGGAAGTCACTCAGTCAAGAAGGGGCTTCAGGCCTTACCTAACTGAAAGTATGTAGACCTCTGGAAAGAATTCTCTCTCCTGCTAATCAATGCCTAAAACCATATCCTTACCCAGAGCTGGGCAAGGGAAAAGGGAGACAGGACATCGAAAACGCGTAAGGGAGTTGTTGTTTTTAATACACACTCCTAAGGTTTTGTTCTGCTGTCCCAGAATTCTGCCTCTGCAGTTCTGGCCTAGGCTCCAGGCAGATCTATAAAAGCACCCATGGGTGATTCTGATGAATCTAGAAAACACTGTCTTCAAGTTTCATATAGATACAGGCCTCACCGGTGTCAAAATACAAGGTAGAGATTATGAAACCCATGTGACTGGGAATCACCCAGCTCAAGTGCTAGTCCTGATTTTGTCTTTAATCAGCTGTGTGACCTCAGACAAGCCCCTGCAGCTTTCTGGGCCCCAGTTTCATTAGAGACACAATGAGGGGAGAAGGAGTAGATGATTTCCAAAGTGTCTTAAAGAGCTCAGGTTATGGAGTTATTTCTTTTACATGTGCAGGCCAGTTTCAAACACTAATTGATTAAGCCTTGGTATAAATAATCACTGTTAAATAGTTCTTACAGGAAAGTAATGCATATTTAAAACACACTCGTGCCACATCAGTCCATTACATATTTAATTGTCTTTGGGATCCATAATTAAGCTTCTGCGGCGTTCGGTGTGGAATTTTTGTAAACTCCCCAGTAGCAGAGTCATCCTTGTACCATTTGTCACCCTGCCTTCTGTCTTCCTGCCCCTTGCCCCATCCTTTGGATGTCCCCTCAGCTGTGGTAGTTAGTCATTATCTCACTCTTAAGTGGAAGCTACTGGGTTTCTCTAACAATATGTAAATTCCCTCTTCTCATTAGAGGATCCAGAATTGTGACTTTTTACAGACCTTTAACCGACTGATTGGATTAATATTCATGCTGATTGCCTGCCTCTCTATACCCCACTCACTCACACCATCATGCGAATCCTCTGTGCTGCTGGTTAAAACCATTGGCCAAGCAACTTATCAGATGACAAACATCAAGATTTTTGTGTCTATTGCTTCTCCATACAGATAATCTCCTTTGAGATAATAATGAATGACACCAAACTCGGACTTTCTTGCCCATTCAGCATACTTATCTTGTCTTCACCCCTACCTCCAGCCTAGTTATAGGTCAAAATCAGCAAGAGTAATTTCCCAGGAATTCTTCACCAAGCCAGTGTTCATCTTTGGGATGGGGCTTATAGTTCACTACCCACCTAGAATCATAGCATATTAGAGCAATAGATCTCAAAACTCTAATGGGATAAGAATTCCACAGGGGCGTGGCAGTTGTTTTCCAGTCTGCTCGCAGCCCCACACTCCCCAAAGCAAGTCATGAGTCCAGCCCACTCAAGAGATGGAGGGATAGACTCCACCTATTAAAAAGGAGCAGTCCCATTAAAATCCTACTAACGAAGTGCTCACCCTCAGCACATCCCTTGTTCCTTTTACTCCCCCTCTTCCTCACACCATTATTACCATGACAGACTATAGGCAAAATGGTCCCCATTAATCCCTTCTATTTATTCCCCTTGGCAACGTGACTATAAAGCTCCTCCTGGACTTCCCTGGAGGCACAGTGGCTAAGAATCCGCCTGCCAATGCAGGGGACACGTGTTCAAGCCCTGGTCCAGGAAGATCCCACATGCCGTGGAGCAACTAAGCCCATGTGCCACAACTACTGAGCCTGCGCTCTAGAGCCCACGAGCCACAACTACTGAGCCCACGTGCCACAACTACTGAATCCCACGTGCCTAGAGCCCGTGCTCTGCAATAAAAGAAGCCACAGCAATGAGAAACCCACGCACGGCAACGAGGAGTAGCCCCCGCTCGCCACACTAGAGAAAGCCCGTGCACAGCAATGGAGACCCAATGCAGCCAAAAATAAATAAATAAATTTGTTAAAAGAAAAAAAGCTCCTCCCATCAACAGGTGAAATCTGTTTCTCCATCTCTTGGGTCTGGGCCGGCTTTATGACTTGCTTAAGCCAGTAAATAGTAGCAAAAGCAATATGCCAGTTCCGATTTTAGATCTAAAGACCTTGCATGCTTCCTTTTGGAATCTCACTAAGCTTCTGCATGAATGAGCCTGAGCTAGCCTGCTGGAGGATGAGAGACCTCACGGAGAAGCAAGTTCCCCAGCCAGCAATCAGTCAGACCACAGAACCAGAGCCACCTAGCTGGCCTGACACCCACCACAGATACATGAGGGACACCAGCCAAGATCAGAAGAGCAATCCAGTTGTCCACTAGACTGGGGAGCAATAACAAACAATTGTTCCTTTACGCTACTAGTTTTAGGGTGTTCTATAACCCCACAACAGATAATTCATGTAATAATTGTTTCCTTTCATTAAATCTCTCTTCCATTGCTGTTTCTCTGACTGGATCATGAATGATAAAGGAAACTTACTAAAAATGCAAAAGCCCAATTGAAGCACCCCAGGCAATTTTGATATACGTGGCCTCAGAACATTCTTTGCCAAACACAGCTTTCAAGGGGCTGTGGAAATTATCTTGTCTAAACTCTCACCTCTCAAGCAGTTTATAGATAGGATCACCTTTAGGCAAAACCTCAGTCTGATCAAATATTTGGTAACCAATTCCAATGTCCAAGAAACATCACAGCACTGTCAGGGATCTTTTTTTTTTCCTAGCTTCATTCCCTCAAGCTGCAGTTTTTGTCTCTTTCCTTGTATTTCTAACTTAGAAGGAAAAAAAAAAAACTGGCTGGCAGATATTCTCTACAAGTAAAACATTTTTTACCCCCTAGGTTAAACAGCTGCAGCCAAATTCTTTAAATTTTCATTCTGGCTGCTTGGAATTAAAAAAGAAAAATGTAATTAGTTCCTGATGTACAACATAATGATTTCATATTTCTATATATGACAAAATGATCACCACAGTGAGTCTAGTTACCATCTGTCACCATACAAAGATATTACATTATTATTGACTATATTCCCCTTGCTGTACCCTTCATCTCTGTGGCTCATTTATTTTGTAACTGGAAGTCTGCACTTCTTAATCTCCCTCACTTGCTTCACTCATCCCTCCACCCCTCTCCACTCTGGCAACCACCTGTTTGTACTATGTATCTATGAGTCTTTTTCTGTTTTGTTTGTTCATTTGTTTTGTTTTCTTGGATTCCACATATGAGTGAAATCACATGGTATATGTCTTTCTCTGGCTGACTTATTTCATTTAGCATAATACCCTCTAGGTCCATCCATGTTGTTGCAAATGGCAAGATTTCATTGTTTGTTTTTTTTGTTTGTTTGTTTGTTTTTGCAGTAGCGGGCCTCTCACTGTTGTGGCCTCTCCCGTTGTGGAGCACAGGCTCCAGACGCGCAGGCTCAGCAGCCATGGCTCATGGGCCCAGCCACTCCGCGGCATGTGGGATCTTCCCGGACCGGGGCACGAACCCGTGTCCCCTGCATCGGCAGGCGGACTCTCAACCACTGCGCTACCAGGGAAGCCCAATTTCATTGTTTTTTAATGGTTGAATAATATTCCATTGTGTGTGTATATCACATCTTCTTTATGTCCATTCACCTATTAATGGACACTTAGGTTGCTTCCATATCTTGGTTATTGCAAATAATACTGCAATGAACATAGGAGTGCATATATCTTTTTGAATTAATGTTTCTGTTTTCTTCAGAAAAATACTCAGAAGTGGAACTGCTGGATTGTATGGCAGTTCTATTTTTAATGTTTTGAGGGAACTCCGTATCGTTTTCTATAGCAGCTGTGCCAATTTACATTCCTACTAACGTGCACAAGGGTTCTCTTTTTTCTACATCCTCTCCAACACTTGTTATTTGTTGTCTTTTTCTCTTTTTAATTGAACTATAGTTGATTTACACTATTGTGTTAGTTTCAGGTATACAGCAAAGTGACTCAGTCATACATATATATTCTTTTTTAGAGTCTTCAATTATATGTTATTACAAGATTTTGAATATAGTTCCCTGTGCTATACAGTAAATCCTTGTTTTTTTAATATATAGTGGTGTGTACCTGTTAATCCCATACTCCTAATTTATCCCTCCCCCCTGCCTTCCCCTTTAGTAACTATAAGTTTGTTTTCTATGTCTGTGAGTCTGCTTCTGTTTTGTAAATAAGTTTATTTGTATTATTTTTAGATTCCACATATAAGTGATATCATATAATATTTGTCTTTCTCTGTCTGACTTCACTTAGTATGATAATCTTTAGGTCCATCCATGTTGCTTCAAATTGCATTATTTCATTCTTTTTTATGGCTGAGTAATATTCCATTGTATGTATGTGTATATATTGATGTATATTATGCCATATCTTTATCCATTAATGGACACTTAAGTTGCTTGCATGTCTTGGCTACTGTAAATAGTGCTGCTATGAACACTGGGGTGCATGTATGTTTTTAGAGTTTTCATCTTTCTGGACATATGCCCAGGAGTGGGATTGCTGGATCATATGGTAAACTCTAGTTTTTAAGCAACCACCTTACTATTTTCTATAGTGCATGCAACAATTTACACTCCCACCAACAGTGTAGGAGGGTTCCCTTTTCACCACACCCTCTCCAGCATTTATTATTTGTAGACCTTTTGATGAAGGCCATTCTCACCAGTATGAGGTGATAACTTATTGTACTTTTGATTTGCATTTTTCTAATAATTACCAATGTTGAGCATCTTTTCATGTACTTGTTGGCCATCTGTATGTCTTTGGA